CTACGCTAGAGAGCCGGGCGCCCACATAGTTATACATAGACCGACTGAAACTTGATGACTAATGAGGTTTACATTACCCGGGCCGCTTGACTTTGCAGACATTTTCTGGTACCTATTTTTGGGTAGGTCAACCTAGAAGGCGAAAGGACGGGTTCGGTATCAAATTACCCCCCTCCCTCCCCCCATAACCCCTGAGCGTCCTTTTAGTGTAGCGACTAGACCCTCAAAATGTCGTGGGTTCAACAAAGCTGGACTTTTCCCTTCAAAGATAACCATGGCTTCCATGTCAACCCAGCTTTCAACGGGTACAAGCGACGGTCATGGGAAGTAAAAACGACCAGTGTGACGTTGACTGCATCAGCCATCGAGTGCCGATTAATCTATAAAATGTAGGACTAACCCTATGTTCCCAAGGATCCTTCACTTACTTACTTTACTAACACTCCCCCCCCCCTCCCCCAAAAAAACCTCTTCCCTGTCCCACCTACTGGCTACTAATCTGACGCTCTTCCAGTAAATTCAGAAATCTACATGCTGCAGACAGGGCTGCCAATGCTGGGTTTTCCCCCTAGATCTGGGTTTTTATTTGACACCTTGGGGAATCTAGTTTTTTTTAAATGTACCCTTATATAAAAGTAGTAAATGTTTCGTTTTGTAACTATAAATTTTTACATTTTAACAATCTAGGGTTTTTTGTTGTAGTTGTTCTTTGTCTATGTATTGCTTGGGTTTTTGTTTAGCGAAGCTAAGTTTAAAAAAAAAAATTCCATTGGCAGCCCATGCTGCAGCGTCCTCGGACGATCAAGTTTCGACATAACTGGGTTGGGTCTTTTTATAGTGGCTTTGTGATATTTGCTTGTTGACCGCTTTAGCTCTTTTCGCTGCCTCTCTGGACTTTTTATGTTTGAAAAGACGGTCACGGCAATGTCAGTAATAAAATACAAACAGAAATAGAGCGGTTACTGCAGCGCTTTGTCCATAAGAAATAATGATAGTTACCTGAATAGGATTTTCTCATCTCCAAACAGAAATAGATGTCGCAATAAATAAAAATAAAAATTTTCTGACACTGGATTTAACCTGTTGGGTACCGAGGAACGCACCAGGCGCTGATATATAATTAGTTTAACTGTGCCTATTTGAAAGAGTAACCAATTAACTGTTATCTATCTTTTATATTGTATCAGTTATTTTAGTTAGCTATCAGGTGCTTGTCGAGCCAATGTCCGGTTTTGCTGCTCCGTGGGTGTAGAGAGGTTGAAGAACTGATTTAGTTAGCTATCAGGTGCTTGTCGAGCCAATGTCCGGTTTTGCTGCTCCGTGGGTGTAGAGAGGTTGAAGAACTGATTTAGTTAGCTATCAGGTGCTTGTCGAGCCAATGTCCGGTTTTGCTGCTCTGTGGGTGTAGAGAGGTTGAAGAACTGATTTAGTTAGCTATCAGGTGCTTGTCGAGCCAATGTCCGGTTTTGCTGCTCCGTGGGTGTAGAGAGGTTGAAGAACTGATTTAGTTAGCTATCAGGTGCTTGTCGAGCCAATGTCCGGTTTTGCTGCTCCGTGGGTGTAGAGAGGTTGAAGAACTGATTTAGTTAGCTTCAACGTTTTGACATTCTCGTACTGTTGGGATGCGTTGCTTGATGCCATTCCTCCGTGATCGTATTTGTTTAATGTTGCAGGCGGAGTAGGGAGTCCCCGTGGTGTAGTAGCTAGACGCTCGCCTGCGGATCTAAAAGTCATGGGTTCAAATCTGAACGGTGATATACTTTTGTCAAAAATGACCTTGGTTCCCAGGTCGACCTAGCCCTAAATAGGCATCAGGTAAAGTCTTAAGAAGTAAAGGCGGTCGGGAGGATACTGACCACACCAATCACCAAGATTGCTCTATAAAATACAGGTTTAGCCCTATGTGCCCATAAAGCCTGATGGCATGGAACAGGGTTCTCTACAGGTCGCCTGGAACAATGAACCTGAACGTCAACTGTTCAATCAAATGATCCGGCCTTTTTTCCCCCCAAGTATCCAGAAGCCATGAGTTGTTAACCCTTAGGCTCGGTATTATGGATATCGCAACCCTTCGGCCTTGATTCCACGATAAATACCGTAAATCTGGGAAAAATGTGGCTTTTCTGCCCACCCCCAGGCGTGAACCTGGACCACAAGCAGTTCGTCACCCGGTCACCGCGAAATCCGGTTTAGCCAACTACGCTAGCGAGCAGGGCGATCCGGCCTTTAAACGCTGTGTCTCACACCGATGGACAAAGGCTCTATCCTGATATTTATCAATAACATGCTTATAAACTGTCAGCACAAAGCGGTCAGGATCAATGGCCACCCAGCTGGCAACGAGAACAGACTCAGAACATCGCATCAGCTTCGCGTAAGACAGGAACCAACAGTGATCTTATTTATATAACTATTACCTCCCATTTCCCGTCTCTGGGTAAATATTAATTACGCACACATCTGCATTTGTGTCAACAATATTTCCCCTAATAAATGCTTGTGTCAAGATTGTTTCTTTAATGCATGTTTGTCTACAAGAAGTTCTACGTCAATAGCGGATCGTTCTCTCTTGTTTCCCTGCGTCTAATGCAAAATGGTTTAACATTAATTTCTATGATAATTGCTTCCTGTGCCCTTCCTTGAAATGTTTCTCATCTTCGTCTTTATTTGCAATAAATCGCAAAGGAATATAGTTTCTTACATTAGGTAATGGTATCAAAATAAAGACAGCAGCAAGAAAATGGCAGAAATAATGAAGGAAAAGTTGCCGCCCCACATTTATGTGTGTGCGTGTGTGTGTTTCCGCGCGATAATTAAAAGGCAATATTTATCTTTTTGGATTTTCCCTCCACTCAGATCCGTCTCAAACAAACACACCCCGGCTCATTATAGAGAGGGTATTTGCTTACAGCTCTCAGGGGCGTAGCCGACAGCTGTGGGAAAGATGGAGTAGGTGACATTTCCCAGCTAGTGCAGATAAGAGAACGGCGGGTAACAATGTACTTCGCAGTCTCTAAGTGTGCACATTTCTCAAGCTGTGCCGACATTTATTTTACAGTCACCATCAAAACCACACGCACGCGCGCGCGCGCACACACACACACACACACACACAACGATGGCAACAACAAAAGCAGCAATAACAACTACCAATACTAGTTATGTTGCCTCTACTAGTACTATCACAACTACTAATACTGCTACCCCTAATACACCTACTAATGATACTGCTACTGCTGATGATGATAATGTCGCTGCTACTATTACTACCTTTTACTACTACTGAATGCAGGTAGTTAGTCAACCCCACCTTACCCTCGAAATTAACCCAAAAATTACTGAAAGGTTTTAGGATAGCCTTGTTCCGTACACATTTTCTTCTCTGTTGTGTTGTCCACCGTTGGACATCAAGTATAGCCCAGTGTCGTGGGTTCCTGTATTCGTCTTGCGCTTCTCTGGTGGCATGAGTGATGGATTTGTTCATCTTTTTGCAGGTTTCAGATTCACCATTTATCCATCTCTTTCTTGGTCTTCCTCTCGCCTTACTCCCAGAGGTTCTGCTGCAAAAAATCTCATAAGCAGTTTGGTCTGGCGGAATTCTCAATAGATGGCCGAACCATTTCTCTCAGGGCATTTCACAGGTAGTTATTCTCTGTTCTATTGCCCTATTCATCCTGTAAGTTAAATCACACTTTCCTGTGTAGTGATTTTGTTAACACAGACCACCACCGAGATCGTCGCTGGAGCTGCGGCTGGTGGCCAGAATTAGGTAAATAGAGACCAAGCTGCACACGTGGTATCTTGCCGATTCCCTAAACACTTGAAGTGAGGTGCTTCCGAATCCTCGAGAGAACAGTGCTTGATCTTGTAAATTCCAGGTGCTTGATCTTGTAAATTCCAGGTGGCCCAGGTGCTTGATCTTGTAAATTCCAGGTGGCCCAGGTGCTTGAGCTTGTAAATTCCAGGTGGCTCAGGTGCTTGATCTTGTAAATTCCAGGTGGCCCAGGTGCTTGAGCTTGTAAATTCCGGGTGGCCCAGGTGCTTGAGCTTGTAAATTCCAGGTGGCTCAGGTGCTTGATCTTGTAAATTCCAGGTGGCTCAGGTGCTTGATCATGTAAATTCCAGGTGGCCCAGGTGCTTGAGCTTGTAAGTCCCAGGTGGCTCATGTGCTTGAGCTTGTAAGTCCAGGTAAGATCTTTGAGGTTATTTGAGCTCTGAGAGTTCTTGCGATCCCTCTCCAGAATAATATCTCGGCAAGACAACGAATGTGTTGCAGAGCTCTCATTCCCCTCTCCAAACTGGTGAGGAAACAACATATATGGGGAGAGGTCTGTCAGGAGGTGTTTAGGTCATGCCCCAACACAGCGCATATGAATTTGAAGTTGTGGTCACTCAGTGGCAAGTACTTTTGTCTGCCAGCTTCGTGGTCATGTGTTCGAATCCCTGTGAAGACAGGAACTGTCGAACTGACCCAGACTCCCACCGGGTCGGTAGGCATGCGAGCTAGCCACTGGACAACCTCCGCCCACATCCCGCCATTCCTTTCTGTGTGTGTGTTTTTAATCTGAGTCGTTTGTAAGCTCTATTCCTTACGACATATCCAACCGTCAATTCATCCATTCCCTTTAAACTAAATCAATCAAACCATCATTCCCTCCATTCACCCAAGCCAATCCATCCATGCACCTATCAATAAATCCATTCACCGTCTGTCTGTATGCCTGCCTGTCAATCGATCAATCTGTCCATCCATAGGTCTACTTAATTACCTACCTATATATATATCCTCCTGTCTGTCTGTCTATCCAATCATCCATAGGTCTACTTAATTACCTACCTATTTATTTATCCTCCTGTCTGTCTGTCTGTCTGTCTGTCTGTCTGTCTATACATTTTCCTTTGTTATCTATTATAATTTTCCAGTAAACGTCTTCCAGTTTTTCTGAATATCAATATTCTAAGAGTATTACCAGTCATAACTGCTTTCGTTCGCCTCTTGTTCAAGACAAGCAACACACCATCTGGTGCCCCTCTAGGCGCAACCTTCCCCAGAAACGCCCCTGACAGTAATCTAAACACCAATTATCCAGAAAATTGGAGCAGCAAGGGGAGAGTCCCACACTTACTTCCTTCCTTTATCATCAGACTCCCTTCCTCTGCTATATGCCAGATTTTTTTGCCCAGCGAAGCTTAATTAGATTGTGCGGTATGCCATTACCAAACAAATGAAACAAGATGTTGGGATGTTTCTTTCCTTCTATCCGGGAGTACAAACTGGCAAGTGTTTGTTTTAACTGTTTCTGTCCTGTTATGTGTTGTTGAGGTATGGAAGATACTATCTAAGTGAGGGAGAGGAAGGGAGGGGTAGAGGAAGAGGAAGGGAGGGGTGGAGGAAGAGGAAGGGAGGGGTGGAGGAAGGGGAAGGGAGGGGTGGAGGAAGGGAGGGGTGGAGGAAGGGAGGGGTGGAGGAAGAGGAAGGGAGGGGTGGGGGAGAGGAAGGGAGGGGTGGAGGAAGAGGAAGGGAGGGGTGGGGGAGAGGAAGGGAGGGGTGTGGGAGAGGAAGGGAGGGGTGGGGGAAGAGGAAGGGAGGGGTGGAGTACGATCACATCTGACTGACACCAGGAAACTGAGAGTCGTGGACATTGACACTGTCACATGGACGCTGTACACATGGACGCTGTACACATGGACGCTGTACACATGGACGCTGTACACATGGACGCTGTACACATGGACGCCATATATATGTGTGTGTGTGTGTATATAGGTATATACATTTGTGTGTGTATGTGTATATGTGCGCGCGCGCACACACACACACACACATATATATATATATATATATATATATATATATATATATATATATATATATATATATATATATATATATATATTTGGCGAAGGCAACGATGATCCACTTAATTCAAGCTTATCGTGAACAAAAAGCAGCTGTCAGAGTAGCGGATGAAACATCAAACTTGACTGAATTACAAAGGACAGACGGACACACCGGAGAGACAGACACACACAAACAGAGACAGAAAGAGAGAGGGGGGGGGGGGGGGGGGGGGCTGCATTCTTTCTCCATTTCTGTTATCTATTTTTGCATATTTTGCAGAAAGTGTGATGCTAAATGAGAAAAACTACGAAACGTGTCCATTTTTATCCATTCTTAATTAAAGGTAATTCATATCAAGAAGTAAGAAACGCAGGTGTTACAGTCATCCAATTAATTAGTGCCAAAGATTAGAATACTTCAAGTTTGCCAAGAGATACAGCGAAGATCAAAACCTTTCTCGCAAACTTTAAAACAAATGCCCACACAGAATAGTTACCATCAACGGTAAACAACTGAAAATCCAAACCTTTGAACTTTAACTGGATAATAAACAAAAGAGACAATTCAAACGAAATTGCAAAGCGGTAGTTCATAAGAATGCAGAGGTTAGACTACAATAAAGATCCCAAGGTTGAGAACATTAGCGAAGATTTCAAAGTAAATACGTATGTGAGAACACGTAGCAATTTTTCTGACAAATAAACAAATGAAAACGGTGTTAACAATGGATTCTTTCACAATCACTACACAAAAACATGGAGTTGTTTGAACTGAAATAAAAAAAAAAGTGGATCAACAATAAGAAATATTCCGACATTCTACAGTGCAAAATTTGGTCATTTGTAAACAGTAAACATAATTATGAGAGAAAGGAGGATAAGAAAGTGACAAACGGAAGTAGAGCTACACAGAGAAAAAGATGAATGGAAAGAAAGAAAGTGAAAGGCAGAAAGATGGTGATGAAAGATAAAGAGGAGGGGGGAAGAGGGAATGTTTGACGGAAAAACTAAGTTTTTATGTCCCCCAAAAGTCTACAATGGTACATAAAATGTGTACACATTTGAAGTGGAGACAAATGACGGAGGACGGACGTAAAGCACCCAGCGGCCGTGTAGCTAGCTACAAGTCGTGCAACATGGAGAGACGGTAAAAGAAGATGAATACAGAATATTGAATCAGTAATCGAATTGGCCCGGCTAATGGCGGCAAAAAGATGCTTTCAATATTGCCCTCAGTGTTAATTGAGTAATCGAATCATTCGCGCCATTGGCAGATGACAAACCGGCACACCAGAATTCATAAACTGGCATTCTGGAAGAGCAGTAGAAACTACAAATGGGTTAAAGACCCAAAGGATGGAAGGAGTCTCCCACAGTTAGTGGGCGATTGTTCTATTAATGTGAGTTGTGTACGATTGTTACAGAACACGCCCACATGTTTGACGCCCGAGCCGCGTTAGGGTAGTGGTTAGAAAGCTTGTCTTTCGCCACTGGTGTCTTAGGTTCTAATCTTCTTCTTCTTCTCCTCCTCCCTCGTCTACCTAATGTCATGTTGTTGTTGTATCCTCTGCCGGAAATTTATGTTTGTTAGTCCATTTAAAGACTTTACTCTTGCTCCAGAATTTGCGTTTTGCATGCATATCTGTTTTGCAGCTGTATGCAGACTGTTAGTTCCTGGCCTCCCAGACAGATGTACTTCAACTTGGCAGGAAACATCCAAATTTAGAAATCTGTTTTACTACATACTTGTAAGGAAGCAGTCAAGGAAGTCAATGTGGCTGGCATTATAATGGCTAAATGATCCAGCCAAGTGATGGTTGGTGTGTAAAGGAATACGATCATTGGCCATATTCACTACATGACATGAGCATGGGTAGGTGCTTCCTTCCTACTTCTATGTGTTTTGTAAGCACAAAATATAGACAGTGACAGGTAGTTACTGGATATCCTATTAGTTCAGAACAGATGCAAATTATATATTTATATATGGGATGAATTTAGGAGGGATAAGCAATAATAGAAATGTCTGGTCAACCACTAGTATCAGTTAAAATGCAGAGACGATAGCGCTATAAAGTATACAACGAGATGAGACGAGCAGAAAATCACCCAACAGGCACTGAAATGGGATATAGGGGTACTGATGAAATGACAATGTTCAAAAGAAACCCTAAGAAGAACGTGGAAGAGAGAGGCCAGTGGTGCTGTCACTAGATTCCATCAATAAAATCGAAGTGATTCATCAGGATAGAAATGAATGTAGGAATAAACCGTGAGCCGGATATGCCATTTAATGGCGCAAAAGGACAAAGAGGGACCAATGGACAGGGCCATTAGGATTGGTTGCCGAGATATGAAACTCTTCCATAAAAGGAGTTGTTAATGGTTGTACACTTCTAGCATCTGAAAATGTTAACATTTCTGTGTGACCTTGAGGCTTAAATGGCGCTGAGAAGATGAAAGAACATTCAACAGGTTAAAGAGAGGGTCGCTGCAGCAAGTGCACCTCTTGACAGGTTTCAAAATGAACTAACAGGAGACCGGATACGGTAGGATAGTCACCAGAACTGTACATAAATGACGTCCGTATCGAAGTGTACTCAGGTGTACTAAAGCAGAGTAGTAGGGGGCGGAGTAGATCAGTGATCGAGGCGTATGCCTCTGTCTTCAGCCTGATCTGATTCGTCTAAAAAAAAAAAAATCAGGGTTTATTCCCATCTGACCCCGGGGTAGTGGAACGGAGGCCTGACCTTCTTAGACACCCCCGTGTGGTAGAGGCAGATACAAGAACAGAAGAACAAGCTCTACTGAACGTTTCCTATTTGTGGTCTGTTAACCCCAAGACCAGTCTGTGACACCTGACCACTTACCCCCGAGACCAGTCTGTGACACCTGACCACTTACCCCCAAGACCAGTCTGTGACACCTGACCACTTACCCCCGAGACCAGTCAGTGAGACCTGACCACTTACCGCCAAGACCAGTCAGTGGCACCTGACCACTTACCCCCGAGACCAGTCTGTGACACCTGACCACTTACCTTATGCGAGGCTCTGCTCTGTAGCGCTGACATGCCTTTCATCACTTTAGAAAAATCTTGCTCACAGACCAGGCTCCCTTGAACCAGCCCATACCGATCTCCCGTGTTGAGCGGCATGTGACACGTGCAACATGTAAAGCACTATAGGACATGTTTGAAAACATAATAACGTGGTTAGGTGGGCATCCATATGATAATTCGCAATGACAGAAACAAATGCATGAATATAACAAACAACAAGATGTGGATGTCATTGTAACTTGTTTCTTGTTACCCATATCCAGGGCCTATCGTATCGGGTTCTACCGATTGTGCTCCCGCTCTTCAGTGCAGCAGCTATTTCTGTATCTTCATACTAAACGTCCATCCAGTGCGCGGTAAATGTCTCAGCATCACGCAAGTCTTCCAAATACCGCCCCTAATAGCTTCGCGCTGTCAGATCACAATTCCAAATGGTATTATGATTTCACTGCTTATGCCCCATTACAGTGCCGCCTGATGAGGCCGTGGCGCTGTATCATAGCACGGCACGGCCCTGCTCAACGTACACATCAAGAGTCGACTAGCAGAGTGACTGTAGGATGCGGCATACATTGATGAACAGGCCTCATATTTGATTAAGAATCGACACTCCCCAGAAAGCCAGCTATGTAACTACCCGTACGAAACTGTTCATCTCTTTGAGTGCCCAAAACTCAGTGAGACACAAGAACGCTACTCCCTCCGAGACCAGACAAGTGGAACACCTTGTACGGAGAAAAAGAACAGCTTGTGAAAACATGTAAATTCCACTACATGGAATTGGGCCAAAGGGCGAAAGCTCATGCGCCGCTGGATCGATAACACAACAACAACATTAAGAATCGACATCACAGCACTCGGGTCATTCCCAGCTGTGGAAATCAAGACTGTGCATGGCATATGGTCACTCCCATGATAGCTGAGAACACTCCATTCTGTGTCAAGCACTGCTGACTGGGTAACAAACTCCAAATCAACAGTGTCTGCATCACCAGGTCTTGTTGCCATTCTAGTTGGCCTACCGCCATTTATATATACTTCTGCATCAACAATGGCCTCTGCTAAGGCATTCCCTTTTCTGTTTTCTCCCATACTGCCCCATGCTCTGTTCATTTAAACCCCCACACACGAGAAGCCTATTGCCAGGGATTCCTTTTAACTCTTTGAGCCAGCCCAACTGATCTTTTGCGACAAGAGAGTTAACAGCAGTGTTGTGTGCTAAATGAGCTACCACTAGCCAGCACACTACCAAGCGTCTAGCAGGTACCCTTCCGCTTCCTCTCTTAGAAACAGAACTCGACGACAATGACACCGTCATACATTTTATTCAACAGGATACATGACACAACTGCAGAGACGAAGTTATTGATCACAGTTGACATTCGCACATCGTCCATTTGTCCTCACTCTCGGCTCTCTCTCTCTCTCTCTCCTCTCCTCTCTCCTCCCTCTCTCTCTCTCCTCTCTCTATTCTCTCTCTCTCTCCCGCCTCTCTCATTTGTAGCGACCTCTCCTTGACTACTACAGCTCCAAGGACTACAGCGTCCCACACTCTGGACGCGCCGTACAGCTGAACAGGACGAATTCTCCCATTCACTAGGATTTCAGCAGACAACACGGCTGACTGGAGACGGACTTCCCTTGCCGTACTCCACAAACACACAGCTGTCATCTGCTTGTCGAAGAGCTCCGATGACCGACAGGACTTCTACCATGTCCACTCTAGCACACAGCTCTCGTCGGCATCACCCCCCCCCCCCTCTCTGTTCTGTTTCACTAGTGGTCCTCCTACGTTTCACTACGTCGCCACCCAGAACAAGTACTAATGGGTCATTCCGTCCTCTTGGTCTTACTTCGCCAACGAGACCATACCTTCGACACGTACCACAACCTCAACACTTACTCAGACCTTAACGCCTGATAGTCGTACGGTATTCGTGTCTGTTATACTTGAGAGAGATAATCAAGGACCCTGACTTGGTCTCTGACTGAATCTCTCTCTCTCTCTCTCTCTCTCTCTCTCTCTCTCTCTCTCTCTCTCTCTCTCTCTCTCTCTCTCTCTCCTCTTTCGACTGCCTCTGACTGACTACTCAGCTCCAAATGTATCCCCCTCAAATCCGTGTAGGTGGATGATGTTTACACGAGAGGCACGCTCGTATGGGCGTTCTCGGGAATCACGCTCATGTGGGTGATCTCGAGACTTTCGCTCATGTGGGCGTTCTCGAGGATCACGCTTATGTGGGTGGCTGATGTTACCTGAGAATCACGCTGTCACGTAATTCACACCTTCTCTTTATCTCGTTAGCCATGCTTTCAGCTCCCACACCGTAACCCAAGCGTCCACTTTCTCGTGGCACTACCCTTCTCACTGGTCAACATCGAGCCAAATGTTGACAATTCCCCGTGAACTCACAGAACCACTCTCATACCACTGTCTCTTCACACAATATTACACTTTACCCAAATCAACGCGCAACAAGCATAAACGTTGACTAAACTCTAAGTTGTGGCCTCGTTATCTATCTGTACAGCCTGAACCTCTGTTGTGATGGACAAGTCAATGGAAACATTGAACAATCGTTCCTTCGTTGCTGGCACCTTGACCTCTTTCGAGACGATGGTCTTACAAGTCGCTATATAGAAGCACATGTATATAAGAACTCCTCAGAGGCAGCATGCACAGTAGGAGTCCACCCTGACCGTCTCCAGTCGACCATGAGACTACCATGACCGTCTCCAGTCGACCATGAGACTACCATGACCGTTTCCAGTCGACCATGAGACTACCATGAATGTCTTCCGACTTTCCAGTCGAGTCGACTATGAGACTACAATACCATGAATGGTGTTTCAGTCGACCATGGAGACATGACCATGACCTTCTGCCAGTTTCGACCATGAGACTACCAGACATGAGGGACTACCATGACCGTCTACATGACATGTCTCATAGTCGACCATGAGACTACCATGACCGTCTCCAGTCGACCATGAGACTACCATGACCGTCTTCAGTCGACCATGAGACTACCATGACCGTCTCCAGTCGACCATGAGACTACCATGACCGTCTCCAGTCGACCATGAGACTACCATGACCGTCTCCAGTCGACCATGAGACTACCATGACCGTCTACACCAACCATGAGGACTACCCGGACCGTCTCCACTCGACCATGAGACTACCATGACCGTCTCCACTCGACCATGAGACTACCATGACCGTCTCCACTCGACCATGAGACTACCATGACCGTCTCCAATCGACCATGAGACTACCATGACCGTCCAGTCGACCATGAGACTACCATGACCGTCCAGTCGACCATGAAACTACCATGACCGTCTCCACTCGACCATGAGACTACCATGACCGTCTCCAATCGACCATGAGACTACCACGACCGTCTCCAATCGACCATGAGTCTACCGATATCCAGTCGGTGGCCCTCCTTCAAAAGCTGTTTCGGTCCGTTTATCCATTTAGTTTTAGCTTCAGGCTTATTCGCGTTCTTGACAGACAAACTTCGCGATCTTGACAGACAAACTTCGCGATCTTGACAGACTATGTCCTAGCTTCTCGCAAATGGGCCAGGCACTGAATTAGAAGAACCAGGAAAGAAGTTAGACAAACAAGAGACTCCCGGGAGGTGTCATAACAACAGCTTACCTTGAGGTGGTAGACGTTAGCTTGGGCTCGCATCACCAGTTCGCTGGCGGGGATTGCCTGGCCACATCCGCAACATAACCCGCCGGACCCGAATAGTCTGTGGATAGAAGTACGGTAACAGGGTCAGCATTTAGGACACTTGTGACTCTTCTCTTTTCCTTCTTGGCTTCATTCTTCTTCTTTTTCTTCTTCACCGCTTCATTCTTCTTCTTCTTTTTCTTATTCTCCTCCTTCTTCATCTTCTCCTGCTTAACTTCATTTGTCGCCTTTTTCGCTTCCTTCTTCTTTTTCTTCTTCTTCTTTTTTCTTCTTCTTCTTCTTCTTCTTCTTCTTCTTCTTCTTCTTCTTCTTCTTCTTCTTCTTCTTCTTCTTCTTCTTCTTCTTCTTCTTAAGTAACTGTAAGGCAGTAAACAGTTCTGGTTGTTCGTCAAGTTGTGGATGGTGGTCGTGTTTAAGGATTTGAGTTTGGCATGCACATCCATTTGGCACATAGGATCTTTTTAGTGCAGACAGACGGTTCATCGACTTTCAGGCAGATGCAGATGAAAGCGACTCATTTTGTACGCAACGTAGACTAACCGCTGCTTCGGTTACTTAAAAATAGGCGGTGAGACTCGAACTGCATTAACAGGCTGGGGTGCTCACCGCTATCACCCAGCCATACAAGCAGAAGTGCCGACAAAACTAAGAACGGTGGCGGGGGGGGGGGGGGGGGGGGGGTGTGAATGGAAGTGTAGGGGCTCAGCCTAGTCAAAAATGGAGTGCAGCTCAAGTGGACCTAAGGCTTATATAAGTATAAAAGTAACATATTTGAAATAATATTATACGTAGTTACGAGTAATGATAGAAATGAAATGTTTACGTATCACCTTAATATGTAAACATTTCTAGGAAATGTGTAACAAGGAAAGATCTACTATGTCAGGAGGAGAGTCGGCAAACAAAAGATCAAATGGTTTGGCCATGTAACAAGAACGGCAAGAGACAAGGCACCACAGAGATTAATGTTACACAGATACAGCGGTAACAGAGCAAGAGGTCGACCACGCAGGTTAAAGACCGCAAATATATAAGTCACTAACAAATACTGTATATTAAGCGAACAAAAGGGCCCTTTCCAAAGGTCCTCTTCCTGCCCTAACGCTGCGAAGCATTCAATGAGTAGAGAAAAGAAAGCAAGAAAGAAGAAGAAGAAAATACAGTTTAAAAGAGAACATCTATACAGCTGGGGGGGGGGAGGAGAGAGAGAGAGAGAGAGAGAGAGAAGAGAGAGAGAGAGAGAGAGAAAGAGAGAGAGAGAGAAAGAGAGAGAGAGAGGTTAGTTGCGAATGCTTTACAGGACGTTGCAGAACCAACCCCAACAGCGCCTGGTTGTTGTGTGGGTTTTTCTAGGCAAATTTACGTCCAGTAGTTTGCCATTGCGCTCTGGACGGTCGGCTTTCTTGATACCACTGTCGAAACTAACCCAAGGCACATGACCCGCAGCTGGAATCGAACCCGGCATCCCGGCATTACGAAGCGTTCGCATCGACTTAGCCACAGAGCGACGAGGGGGGGGGGGGGGGGGGGGGGGGTTGTGGGAGGGGGATATTGTCCTCCTTATAAATTTAGTCAGTATTTGGACTGAACACCCTTCACTTGCTCCCCCTCTCCAAGGTTTCCGCGTCCTTGCACCAAAGTCCCTCCCAGCCACACAAACTGAAGAGAACACAAACTGCTTAATTGGCAGACGACTACAGCAGGCATGCCGATGACTGAAGAAAAAGAGACTGGCGGTTTAAAAAAAAAAACCCACACAACCTCATGGTTGAGAAAAATCTAGATAACGAGTAGGGTAAGCACAGGATTTGTCCAAAGGTTGAGATTGGTCCGTTCTCAACACGCGAGATGTGATTGCTCATTAGCGTAAATTTCGCTTGTTAGCGTTACTAACAGGGGCGATAATTGTATTTTTTTTCTTTAACTAAACTTGTTACCGCTACTAATAGGGGAGGTAATTTTTATGCCTTCTTTCCAAATGTCATTTTGTAAAAACTTCAACAAACGTGGAGCCAAGTCTGTAGAGCCAAGTAAACTAGTTTTTCCAGAAAAATGTGGCACGTAATTTGTAGGCTCACACAGAGAATAGCAACACAGAAAGAAAAAAGAAGAAACTCAATTAGTTGTTGGGAATACAAATACAGACTTACAAACACATCCACAAAAAACACACACACATACACGTAGATAGATATCAAATAAGTGACAATATACATATATATATATATATATATATATATATATATATATATATATATATAGAGAGAGAGAGAGAGAGAGAGAGAGAGGGGGGGGGGCAGGCAGAAAGATTAAGCAAACAAAAAAAATGTTTACAAGACATAAACGGATAAAAAGACATTAAAACAGAAGGAGATGGGATTTGAAAGACAAAGTAGAAGACGGAAAAAGATACAGGAGTCTGTAGATGGGTAATAAAAAAAATGAAGAAGGTATGGCTGACACTCACAAAAGAAAGTAGAAAAGCACAAATAGAGAAAAGAAACAACAAAACATAAAAGAATGAAGAAGAAAATGAAAAATATAAGACAAGAGGTAGAAATGAAAGCAGGAGGTGCAAACGAAGAAGAAGAAAAAGTAGAAGAAAGAAAGAAAGAAAGAAAGAAAGAAAGAAAGAAAGAAAGAAAGAAAGAAAGAAAGAAAGAAAGAAAGAAAGAAAGAAAGAAAGAAAGAAAGAAAGAAAGAAAGAAAGAAAGAAAGAAAGGAAGCAGAAACTTTAAGAAAAGGAGGAGGATGACGAGGAGGAGGAGGAGGAGGAGAAGAAGAAGAAGAAGAAGAAGAGAAGAAGAAGAAGAAAAAGAAGAAGAAGAAGAAGAAGAAGAGAGAAGAGAAGAAGGTCTCTCACAAACAATCAATAACACGTGACGTAGACGACACGACTTCCATCTCTATGTGTACGTATAAGAACAGAGAAGCAGGCAAGATGGCCGGCCTAATTTCCAGGTTACGTGAAATCACGAATGTCAATTAGTGATGAATGGAGCGGAGGGGAGTGGAGAGGAAAGGGGCTAATTGATTTCCCTATAGACCTTGTTCATCTGAGTGACTGCCTGATCCCCACTAGCTGGGGTCTTTCTTCTATAGTCCAGTATGTGTGTGAATCTTAGTGGATGGGGGCCTGTCTTCTCTGCTTATGTGTGTGTATGGGGTCATCGTTTTTGTGGTCTTTCTGATCGTGTTGTGTGTGGGTGTTGGTGTGGGTGTGCAACAAAACGTCGGCATGACTGGCGTCTTTCTTATATAGTCCTGTACGTGTCTGACTTCCGCTTGTGCGACCTTGCTGTGTTAGGCATGAGTCGCTTAAACTGACGGACGCCAGGCTCGCAAGCGTAGTTGGCTAAACCGGATTGCGCGGTGGACGGGTGACGAACTCCTTATGGTCGGGTTCACGCCCGGGAGTAGGGAGAAAAGCCACATTTCTTCCAGATTTACGGCATCTATCCTGGAATCAAGGCTCAAGGGTTGCGATATCCATAATACCAAGCTTATCATGGCTTCTGAATACTAAAGTCGATTCGTAATGCCGGGATGCCGTGTTGTTCGATCCCAGCTGCGGACCATGCGCCTTGCGTTGGTTTTGACAGTGGTATCAGGAAAGCCGACCGTCTAGGAGCAATGGCAAACTACTGGACGTAAATTTGCCTAGAAAAACCACAGCCAGGGGCTGTTGGAGTTGGTTCTGCAACGTCCTGTAAAGGATACGTAACTAACCTTGTCAAGCAGAGAGAGAGAGAGAGAGAGAGAGAGAGACAGACAGACGAGAGAGAGAGGACAGACAGACAGACAGACAGACAGACAGACAGACAGACAGACAGACAGACAGACAGACAGGCAGACAGACAGACAGACAGACAGACAGACAGAGAGGGGGAGGAAGATATGCACAGAAAAACTTGCGGACAAAGTAACGCAAGCAGGGTGATCGAACGACCAACCGACTGCAAAGCATACATACAGACACTTACAGACAGCCACACAGACCGACTGACATGTAGACAGACAGACCGATCGACAGACAGACACAGATGAAGCAGTGTAATCTGTCATACTCACAGGGAAACAGCCATATAGACAAAACGCATTAACAGAGAAGCAGTTTTCCCCACACACAAAAAAGATGACTCACGCCAAACAACCAATTGCAAAGACTAACAAGCACACACGCATCCATTAACCCCACATCCACACTACACAACCACACAAGAGACACTTCCAACAAATATTTTCCAATATCCCATAACTACCTCACCAAAAACACCAATCTTCCAATTACGACAAGGAAACAAACCCACACAAAACGCTACCCCTGGCCCGCACTTATCGAGTCCAACCCATTAATTTCTCTAAACACACACAATCACTGGCGAGCAATTAAAGGCTGTAATTAGTGTCTATACAAATATTTACACAGGGGAGGGAATTTCCTATAATATTTATCAAGTTTTAATCAACTTTGGAGCAGGAAATGGCTTTTGTAGGCTGAAATTGATGGTATTTTTAGATGCAATCATGGACTAGAATTATATAGAATGATTGAAAAAAGGATTGTGAAGCGCGAAGGTAGGAGAGGGGTTGCCTGCTGCGAGCAATAATTAATTTTATACAAGAATTGTTGGGGATGAAGCTCTATGTGGGAGCGGAGATAAATGGGTCTGCAAGCGGGCACACGGAATCCGGAGAAGCACGCAGGCGAGCACGTGCGGCGGAATGAGATGTGTGTTTCCGCTTATTAAGAGGAAAGGATCCTGTAAAAATTAAATCACTTAATGTGACAGATTGCTTCATAAATTGTCCCTATTATTATGATGATGATTATATTTAATTTTCTTTATAATTATTCTCATGGTTACATTACTGTTTTTATTTTTGTAATCATTTTATGCGCCTGAATTATATTACTGTTTGTGCCATACTTAACCCTATGGTTAACCGAGGACTGTTCAGTTATAATAACTTAACATTAGTTGTTTCTTTGAACCCAAACGGTTATTGTTGCTATAATAACCTCACTATTTATACACGAACAACCACTGCTGCCCC